TATTCACTTAAAGAAAATAAAAACACTTTAAAATGATTTTCTTCTTATAAGTGTAGAAAATAAAATCAAAGACAAAGAAAAAAAAACAATAGAAAAGTTTTTTTTTTTTCACCAGGGTTACCTCTACATACATCCTGATGTGTGCGTGGAACCCAGCACACGCAACTCTTTAATGCATACCCACTGCTGACACATGAGGCCCTGGAGCTCAGTCAGAGGAACCAACAGGTTCTTAGTCTCCTTCTCCGTTTATTGCTCGGTGTGATCAGGCTACATTCATTTTATACATGCATTGTCAGGAGGCCTACTACAGAAAGAAGTGCGATTTGAAAATGCACACTTGTCTAACCTCAAACAATAGGTGAACTCTGACTGATGATGAAGAGAAATGGAGTTTAAACGAAAGTTCAACTCTGGAAAACTGATGGCCTCACCTGCTCCTGCAGACCTCCATGTCTCAGCTGCGTCCAGTTGTCGCAATCCCAGCCACATCCAATCAGCTCCTGTCCATCGTGCATAAAACCGTCATCTCAATCGCCCCGTCTGCATGCCAGCTGACAGTCAACCTACCACCACCCCTCCTCCACCCTTCATCTTCAGAAGGGGGTGCACCTGGTCCAGTTCTTCATGTCTCTTTCCAGTCCTTCAGCCCAGCTGGTCGAGGCAGATGGCCGCCTGCCCTGAGCCTGGTTCTGCCGGAGGTTTCTTCCAGTTAACAGGGAGTTTTTCCTCTCCACCGTCGCTCAGGATGGGAGTCTGTGTTGAAGTGATTCAACACAACCTGCTGGCTTCCTCTTTTTTAATTTATTTTTGACCTCCACCACCAGTGTCGGGCCCCCGGGGGGATCATATCTCTTACCCCTAACTTAAAGCATCTTATATGAGATTTCAGCTTCGCACAGCGCTCTCGTCCTCTGCCGGGGTCCGAGCGCCAAACTCTAATGCTCTTTATGTCATTAATCATGTTGGTCCAGTCATGTCAATAAACCTCCTAATTTCAGTCTGTCTTTGTGTGAGTCCTTCCAGGTTGAAATGGTACCCATCTGAAGGTGCTGTTAAAGGCTTGAATATCTAAACCTGTGATAWTTTCAATACAACTCGTTGTTGTGCTGAGTGTGAATCAGAGGCGATTGCTCTAAGACTGCAACAGAAGCTCAGCTTCCCCTAAAATGTAAAAAAAAAGTGATCAAATATACACTGTTGTGTGTTCATGTCATTGACTAAATATGCACTATAACGCGCTCAACTTTTGTTCAGAATCAGCTTCTTATCACTGGTAATGACGCAGCTTTCCTCTCCCTCATTCCCACAGCGTCACAGTGCTTTAAACAGTCGGACGCTGAGCGTCCACAGACTTCAATAGTGAGGCACAAAAAAATGCAGCGAAACGAGACAAGTCATTGGATAAATGCTGGACTTTGTCCTGCCCCAGGACGCTGAACGTCTCTGGTGGTCTATGGAGCAGTGGGCGGGTTCGAACGCCCAGATTCTACATGATGATTGGATGATCTGTCTGAGCCTGAATCCCTTTTTGATTGACAGTGAAATGAGCGAATCAGAGATCTTTTGGTGTAAATATTCAGTGGGAGCAGTTTTTAGTTTCGTTTCTGTTCTGAGCTGAACCGGAGACTTTTCTAAGCCTCTTAGCTAAATTTTCTTTGTTAAAAACGACTAGCAACAAATCGAGTTTTTATTTCTGGTGGATTTTATTGTATCTGCTTGTGTTTGGAGACAGACTTCAATCACTCTTTCTGACGTCTATCACAGTTTCTGTCCAGCTGAGCCCCTCCGCCATCACAAAGCACTCAAAGGCGGAGACACTTCACTCTAGCCTCACGCCAGTCCCAGCTAGTGAGTTAGCTAGGTAGCAAGCTGCATATAATGTCAGAGAGTTTCAATGTGGACCGGATTTTGGCAAAGCCATTTGATACAGTCTTGTTTACAAAGAAAAACTTCAACAGCAGGGCTGATCAACTCCTCAGATTAGTTTGGTTCAAAAGGTGGGGAAACGTAAGATTATAAAAAAACATTTTTATTGATCCCACACGGGGAAATAACAGGTCTTTTCGGCTGTTCTGGTATGACAAAGTGAGCTTGCTGCTGTAAAAGACTATAGAACAATCTGGAAAATGATTATAAAAGCAGTGGATCAATTAATTCCTTTAAAAAAACCATCAAAGTAAAATTGTCAAAGAATTATGAAATTGTTTAATTTGTATTTGTATGAGTCACTGTTTGAGGAGTTGAATTTTTTGTTTAGTTTTATTATTTGGTTTAGTGTTTGAAATTAATATTTTTTTGTAAATGGGAGCAGATATCAAGATCTTTTTCTTCTGCTGCTGCCTTTCATTTTTTTATTTGTATTGTTTTGTTGTACATAATGGTTTGTTTGTTTTTTAATGAAATGAACTTAAAAAATGATCTGTGACAGGGTCACAGATCATTTTCTTGAAAAGGAATGGAGGGTAGAATTTATAACCGACACATTTTATTATGTAGGCCGAAACTGAGCTTCCTCTCCTTGAAAGACCAGCATCCGCCAATGGTGTGAATTAATATGGAAAAAAATCATTTAAACAAATTCATTCAACTGCAAAATAACAAAATTACTTTTGTATGCTTAGGTGCATCTTCTGGTCTTCTTGGTACAAACGACAACGATGCAGGGAATGAATTTCTTTTGCCTGACGGCTCTCAAGCTCAAACATTGGAGGAATTTGTCCACAGCTGGCAGGTATAGTAAATAAAACATGGAAGTGTTGCTTAGCTGAGTTAATCTGCAAGTTTAGAGTTCTTAAATGTCTGTTTTCTGTCTTTAGCTACAACCAAAGTGCAGCAAACGTCCAGCTGAAGCTGCTTCTAAAGCAGCCATGAGTGCAGTGAGCTGTGACTTCCTGTTCTCTGCTCCTGATTCACCACTCAGTTCCTGTTTTAGGGTGGTGAGCAGAAAAACACAACTGACTTGCCTCAGCTTGAATTCATTCATGGTGTCAKGCAGCTTTGATAGCATTCATTATGAAACTTTAAGCTCACTTCATTATTGTCTTGCATCTAAGTGAAAATAGCTGTATTATGAAAGTAAATTAGTTGCAACACTTGTGAAAATATAACTTTGATTAAAGCACCTGGAGGTAAAATTTCAGCTGCAACAAGGTTTTACAGGAATAATTTCTGAACGTAAAGTTGCAATAAAAYATTTAAGAATCTGAAAAATTGCCCACAAACATAACTGGATACGACATATCGGTAGCATATATGACCCCCGCATGTACGCAAAACACCAGAACTCTYCAGAATAAAATTATTGTTTTGGGTGGGGTTGTTGTTCATTGGTGGGCTTGATGGATAGCCCTTCATCAGAGCTAAAAAAAATAAAATAAAATAAAATAAAAATTAAAAACTCTGAAGCTCCTATGTTGAATTGTTTCTGAGTTAAAAGCATTTTTGTATGTCCAGACACACACTTTTCAGTTGGAGCCCACTGCTCAAATATGAGGTCTATCATAAAACCGTTGGCTGGTACAGGGTAGGTTGGACACATCTACATTCCTGACAAATTTCACATTGATCAGTGTAGTCGTTTTTGTGATACGGGGGTCACACTTCAAAAATACACACTAATAAATGATGAATTAGGACTGTGTAACTACAATAAGAATCTAGGTCCATACATATATTGTTTTTCACGCTGTGGCAGAAGTTTTTCAAAATACCAGCAAACCTTAACAACCTGCATTAATATGGTCAGGTGATTGGGACACATTTGGTTCACATCATGTTCAAGATTGATGAAGTTGTACAAAAACCTCCACTTCTATCCCTTACAAGATGGTTTTTACAAACATTATGGGTTGAAATTTTTATCAATTTGGCTCAGTTTCATTAAATAAAACATGACAGTTTATTATTTCATGAGTTGATCCTCTGAGGTTTTCATACAGCTTGATAGGATATTTTTTCATAATAAAACAATTTATTAAACTACAGGGGGTCAGATGTTACATAAACTTATGATAATTCAGTTTGGCTGAGAGCAGAGACTTTTGGAGATAAAAACTGGAAACTGACTGTGGTCTGTCCTGGTTTAGGACCTGATGCCTGTCAGTTCTGACAGCAGACTCTGTGTTCTCAGGTGGATCCTGCTCAGTTCTGGTCCGTGTGTGAGMTGAGCTCCAGCAGAGCCCCCTGCAGATTAGCTCAGGCTTTTGTCCACCTCTGCCAGCAGAACTACGTACCTCTGGAGGTTCCGGTCCAGTGTAGTAAGTGGATCAGTGCTCAGGATGTGCACTTTTACGTGACAGTCTCTAACTCCAGCATGCTTAGATTTTATTTATTTATTTATTTATTTATTTATTTATTTATTTATTTATTT